AGAGAGAGAGATATATACAAGAGAGATGACTAAAGAGAGAGAGAGATGTACAAGAGAGATGACTAAAGAGAGTGAGAGATATACAAGAGAGATGAATAAAGAGATAGATATATATACAAGAGAGATGACGAAAGCCCCATTGTGCTCTATGGCTGCTTACCATACTTCAGTATGTCTTGGGGTAAAATTCCAACTCCCACACCCCTCAGAGAAACTCTTTCTTCTGGGGTGCGTGGGGTTTGGGCCAGACCTGGAAAATTTCGTGCCGGGCCATTCAGGTCTCGTGTTGGGAAACACCTCCTCACACAGGAATGGGAATCTGGAACAATTTCAGAAAAGCTGGAGTTTTCAAATCAGAGGTCGTAGGTTTTATTTCAGGGGGGGTGCTGGGCTAATGTAAATGCTATAGTGCTGAGGTATCTAAATCAATGATGATCTAATTGAATGTTCTGATGGAGGATAATTTTTGTTTTAATTCATTCATGGGATGAGGGTGTTGCTGGCTGGGCCAGCATTTATCACCCATCCCCAATTGCCCAGAGGTCAGTTAGGAGTCAACCACATTGCTGTGGGTCTGGATTCACATGTAGGCCAGACCAGGTAAGGATGCAGTTTCCTTCCCTAAAGGACATGAGTGAACCAGATGGGTTTTTCCCAAGAATTAACAATGGATTCACGGTCATCATTAGACTCTTAATTCCAGATTTTTAATTTTAATTCCAGCTGCTGCAGTGGGATTCAAACACAGGTTCTCCTTTGGCTGTGAGAGCTCAAAAAAGTTTTGCTGTCAGTGTGGTGATTCAGGTGATTGGGTTTTGGTGGAGGGTTGAGTATTTTGTGGGAAACTGCAGCATTGTGTTCTTGTTGCTAACCCAGCTAGCGCCCTGGGAGATCAAGGCTGGAACACACAGGGAAGCGGAGTTAAAATCTCCCAGGACAATTTGAAAAGCTGAGCTCAACTTTGAAACAAAATCTGAAAACAGTGAAATTGACAATGGAGGTGGGGGGTTATTGTTAAAAAAAAACCCAACTAGTTCACAACCATCCTTTAGGGAAGGCAACATGACCTGCTTACCCACTCTGAACCAACACATGAGTCCAATCCACACCCTAAAGAAGTAGATACTTCATGGCTGAGCAGGCCCTTTGAGCCTTCGAGCAGGGGCAACATGGAGTTAGATACAGAGTAAAGCTCCCTCTACACTGTTCCCATCAAACGCTCCCAGAATAGGGACAACATGAAGCTAGATACAGAGTAAAGCTCTCTCTACACTGTGCCCAATCAAACACTTCCAGGACAGGGACAACAAGGTGCAGGGCTGGATGAACACAGCAGGCCAAGCAGCATCAGAGGAGCAGAAAGGCATTCCTCAGACGACATGTCCATCCTGGGCCTCCTGCAGTGCCACAATGATGCCACCCGAAGGTTGCAGGAACAGCAACTCATATTCCGCTTGGGAACCCTGCAGCCCAATGGTATCAATGTGGATTTCACTAGTTTCAAAATCTCCCCTCCCCCCACCGCATCCCAAAACCAGTCCAGCTCGTCCCTGCCTCCCTAACCTGTTCTTCCTCCCACCTATCCCCTCCTCCCACCTCAAGCCCCACCCCCCATCTCCTACCTACTAACCTCATCCCGCCCCCTTGACGTGTCCGTCCTCCCTGGACTGACCTATCCCCTCCCTAACTCCCCACCTACACTCACCTTTACTGGCCCCGTCCCCGCCTCTTCGACCTGTCTATCTCCTCTCCACCTATCCTCTCCTCTATCCATCTTCTATCTGCCTCCCACTCTCTCCCTATTTATTTCAGAACCCCCTTCCCCTCCCCCTTTTCTGATGAAGGGTCTAGGCCCGAAAAGTCTAAAAGCCTTTCTGCTCCTATGATGCTGCTTGGCCTGCTGTGTTCATCCAGCCCTGCACCTTGTTGTCGCGGATTCTCCAGCATCTGCAGTTCCTACTATCTCCACTTCCAGGACAGGGACAGCACAGGGATAGATACAGAGTAAAGCTCCCTCCACACTGTGCCCAATCAAACACTCCCAGAACAGGCACAACATGAAGTTAGATACTGAGTAAAGCTCTCTCTACACTGTGCCCAATCAAACACTTCCAGGACAGAGACAGCACGGGGTTAGATACAGAGTAAAGCTCCCTCTACACTATCCCCCCATCAAACACTCCCAGGACAGGGACAGCACGGGGTTAGATACAGAGTAAAGCTCCCTCTACACTGTCCCCCATCAAACCCACCCAGGACAGGGACAGCGCTGGGTTAGATACAGAGTAAAGCTCCCTCTACACTGTCCCCCATCCAACCCACCCAGGACAGGGACAGCGCTGGGTTAGATACAGAGTAAAGCTCTCTCTACACTGTCCCCATCAAACACTCCCAGGACAGAGACAGCACGGG